CCCCGTCCCGCCCCCGGCCCGCCCGGACCGCCGCGACCCGCCGCCCTCGAGCCCGCTCGCGCTGTACCTGTCCCTGCTCTCGCGCCGCCCGCTCCCGACGAAGATCGTCACCTCGGCCGTGCTCACCGCCCTCTCCGACCTCATCGCCCAGCTGTACTCCGGCACCCCGCTCTCCGCGCGCCGCCTGCTCTCGCTCGCCCTGGTCGGCGCCGTCCTCACGGCCCCGCTCTTCCACCTGCTGTACCACTACCTCGAGCTCTACATCCCGGCCTCCTCGGGCCCGCTGGCCATCCTCGCACAGCTCGCCGTCGACCAGCTCGTCGCCGCCCCCGCCTGGCTCGCCGCCTTCTTCGCCGTCCTCGCCCTGTTCGACTACCCGTTCGATCGCAACGCCCTCGAAAAGCAGATGAGGAGGGACTTCATCCCGGCCCTCAAGCTCACGTGGACCGTCTTCCCCCCGGTCCAGCTGCTCAGCTTCGCCTTGCTGCCCCCCATCACCAGAGTCCTCACCCTCAACGTCGTCGACCTGGCCTACACTACCATCCTGTCCTACATCAAGCATCGCCCACACCTTCCCGACGCCCCCCTAAAACCCTCCTAAACCCCGCAAACCCCGATTTACATTTCTCCATAACCCACTATATCCCCTCCCTCCTCCGACACATCCTCACCTCCACCCCACTCTTGGGCGTCATCTCCGGCACCGACACATACTCCCTGTCCTGTCTCTCGTCAACCCGAATGTCAAACTCGCGCACCATCGTCCCGACCGTCGCCTTCATTCCCACGCGCCCCAGTGCCGCGCCCAAGCAAAAGTGCGCCCCGCCGACCCCGCCGAAGCTCACCACACCCGGCGCCTCACCCCCTGCCACGAACCGCTCCACTTTCAGCGTCTCCGGCTCCGCGTAGTACGCCGCGTTCCGCTGCCCGCCCCACGCGTCCAAGCCCACGATCGTCCCCACCGCGATCGCGTGCCCGCACACCGTCGTTGCCTTCGCTGTCTTGCGGAACAGCACCGGCGCCGGCGGGTACAGACGCAGGATCTCGTTGATGTACGAGTCCAGCAGCGGCATCTCTTTGTTCACTTGTTCTAGCGTCATGTCTAAGTCTCCGTCGCGCGCCCGCACGATCGCGTCCTGCTCGTCGCGCAGCCGACCGTGTATATCCGCGTTGAACCCCAGCTCCATTAGGCAGCACGACGACGCCGACGCTTGCGTCGAATACCCTGCAAACCACAGCAGCAGCACCAGCTCGCACAGCTCGCGGAGCGTCGTCTCGTCCAGCTCGGCGCCGGCGTCTGTCGGGAGGGAAGTCGTCGAGACGAGCACCGTAAGCAAGTCGAGCGAGCCCGCGCGGAGCTCCCCGCGCGCTTTGGCGGCGATGCGGTCCGCATCGACCTCGCGCAGCGCTTCAATCGTGTCCTTACGGGTGCTGAGCCGGTCGCGCACCAGCCCGCCCAGGATATCGATCAGCTCGTCGCGCGCGCGCAGCGCCTTCCACCACACGGGGCCGAACGGGAACGTGATCATGCCGCCCGCGACAGCGAGAAGTAAGTCGCGCACGCGCAGGAATTGCGCTTCCGCGCTGGCCTCCGAGGACGCGTACTGGCCACCCGTCGTGAGGCGGATGATGATGCCGAGGTAGTGCTCCTTGAAGGCGTTTTGGAGCTTGGAGGTGCCGTCGCGTTCGACCTGCTGTGACACTTTGCGCCAGAACGATCGCGCGTCTTCTTGGATAGAGGAGAAATAGAGCGGGAACAGCTGTGGCGAGAACGCCGGCATGACGGGCTTGCGCTTGGTGGCGTGCTCCTTCCCGTCGAGGATGAAGAGAGCCTTGTCGCCAAACAGGGTGGAAAGGGAAAACGGAAAGGCGCCTCCGGAACGAAAGACTTCGCTGTCTTTGTAGCAGGCTTTGATGGCGTCTAAGTCGGAAATGATGGTGACAGGGAAGCCCAGCACATCAGACTTGTATACTGGGCCATAGCGCGGGGAGAGTTCACGGACTTTGAGGTTACGCGTGAAGACGTCGATAAAGAAACCTATAAGTGGGAGGCGGCGGTACACAGGAATGGCTACAGGGGTTGGAAGAGGGGCTTCTGTCTGGGGCGGCGGACTTGCTGCACATACGGGACGACGGCGGTGCTGCTGCGCACCAACGGAGTGATTCAGCAAGCGCGGGGCGAAAACGAAAGCGACGTGCATATTCGTGGAGGCGCGAGAGATGGCACACTGGGAAGGAAAGCTTGGCTAGATGCTATTGCTGCTGGAAACGAGGATCGGATTCATGTAGTTATAGGGCATGCTGCTGGACGGGGGAGGTAACTTCTGAGATGTTGGGGGACATCCTTATTCTCTGCCCTCAATGTCGTCACTCTGAACTGTGTGATCACTGAGATGCGCTTGAGATTATTTTGGATAGGAGCCAATGAAAGACGCTCGATTAATGAGAATGTTTGTTACGTACCACTTTTAGTTTGGAAGTCTTCTTACGTACCACTTTCTTCACCTCACTCCCGAACGACTTTTCGGTAGAAGTACACAGTGTGTGGGGCTTCGCAAGTCGTAGCGTAGTGTCCAACTTGACCACAAGCAGAGCAACGCAACTTTCGTTGAAGCGCTGCGACCCCCTGTTTCCGCCGTTTCATCGGCCGACCTGCCTGACTCGGAACTCTCCACGCCATCATCTGTCTGGCAATAGGCAGAATCTGCAAATCCACGTTAATGTTTACTTGAGAGGCAAGGGCAGCAGCAGCAACATACTGGCGCTCAAGTGTTGCATGATGAAAAACAGTCGATGCCCACTTTGTGTCCAGATGGTTCCAGTGTGCAGCCTCCGGGACGTTCGCATGCCGCTCGCGTAGATTATCAAACACTGTCAGAGCGAGTTGGGCTAGGGGCTTGCGCTTACGTTTCCCCTTTATAGCGTCGCAGGACTGAGTAAGATTGATTTTTCCCATTTTCCACAAGCCGTTGTTTGCCCTGCGGTCTGGTTGGGCGTTGAAAGTGTATGAGCACTCTTGGGAGGGGCACTGTACGTATACGCAGGCGCCCAGAGTCTGAGTTTTTTACCTTGTGAGATCGGCCCACGGTGGCGCACAGGGCTAAGGATGCCATCAAGATGCTGTGCTTGTCAAGGAACGTGCTCCCTTTGATCAAACTCATTCCGACGACGCCCTCTTCGCCTCTTCATCACTCTAGCGCTCCTAAGAAAAGGGGCTCATAAAAGTGGTACGTAACAAAAATTCCAAAATAAGAGTGGTACGTAACAAAAATCCCCTCGATTAATTCGTGCATTGCTACAGTACGCTCACCCATGGTCAAAGATGTCTAGGAGCACTGGTGGGGGCGTATGCTACTTCAATCTCCTACTTTGGATCTTATCTACAGTGTCAAAGAACACGCCTTTAAAAGGGCATTGCCGCGTCTCAAGGCCAGTGCCGAAAAGGAACTTTTCGTCTTGCGTCGCTTTGGCGGCCGAGGCGAGGTCTAGAATGATGACACTTCCAGGCTTCAAAGCACCATCTTGTGGGAAGAGACCTCCTACGGTGGTAGTTTTCTTCGGAAACCTGTACAAGATGGGAAGCAAGGGATTGTTCAAGAAATAACTCTTTGGATTCGGGGAAGTCGTGTTTCGAAGGGCCATCAACGCGTCCCCGAACGCCGTCGGAGTAGCCAGGTTGTGAACGTAGTCTACAATCTCTGAACCATCTGGCAGCAAGTCAACACAGTAGTTTTCGAGCTTTTCTCGTGCGGCACGCCCGCGCAAGTACCCGCCGGGGCCGACACCTATGGGCAGGAAAAACATTATCTGCGCTGCCGCGTCGGCGATTTCCTGTGGAAGCTTCTGCCCCGGTCGCACCCCGCCAATGATTTCAGCTACAACCTTGACTGCCTCTTTTCGAACGTACTCCACGTTTCCGTCACCTTCCACCAATTCAACCAGTCGCGAAATCTGATCTTCATTGAATCCTTGTTTGAGATACTCTTCCACATCATGCCTGCGATTCGGCCGGTTATCTTGCTCATCCGCCAGCGAGGCAATATGCCATCGGTCTTCTTTTGGGTAATAAAACTGGGTCGCGAGAAAGATTTTCTGGAAGATCCAAGGAAGCTCCGCACCTCCTGACCTTGTGATATCCGGGTTGCTCGCGATCTTGCGGATAAGAGCAGCGTCTGAAACTATAACGACATCTTTCAGGAGAAACGGCACGCCGAAACGTTTCACCCCCGCCGGAAGAGTTGTCGACATGACGGTAGCGGCCCTTATCAGGCGTCGGGATTGATGGGTCTTTAGTGGCGAGGAAGGAAGACATCTGTGTTGATGAGTAAATTGCGTAGTATAGGAATCATGATGGAGGCTCCGCAGTTGATAGAAATAGGGACTGGAGAAAGCCGTAAGCTTTTGATTTTGAAATGGGTCGGTGTTGATCCGGAAAGAGCCCATGGCGTTTCTTCTATCGTGCATTTCAAGGCATCAACGGCACAGGATGGGGCGCCGCGTGAAAAAAAATGTGTCGGACGAAGGATGAAACTCTTTTGTTTATATAGACTTCTAGAGCTGCACTCAAGTATTGATTGAGTCTGGATGCAGAAACGAAACGAATTACAGTATGAAAGGAGACAAATGTTTGGCTCGTGAATCGTACTGTTCGTGCTGTTTGTGTCGAGATTATCAAGGTGACGACGTAGCTCATTATTATAATACAGTTCAGGGGATGGGGACGACGCAGCTCGAGATTACATGGACGCAGCTCATGGAATGGCCCTGAGGGCCATTCCATTCATCGTGATTGGCAATCACGCAATTACGCAATCACGTCAATAAATGGTGGCTGCTCCCTTGTGGTTGGTTGTTTATATTACGTTTCCTAAAAAATGGTCATGCTCATTAAAGAAATAAACAATCGACTTAAAATTGTAGTACAGTACAGAGAAAAATCTCGATACAGTGGCCCCTAAAGGTGGCGACCCGGAATGCTGTACGATAGCCACCTGGACACGTTTAGCCACACCACAGTACTTAAGCCCGTCGTCGCCCCCTCCAGTAAACTGAGTGGGCATCATCGCCCTTGATCACAGGTTATGGACCCTTTACGCTAAACTCCCTCGCCTTTCTCTTCTCGCTCTACTCCGGCGCCTCGCCGATCTCCTCAACCGGCACCTTGCCGTCACCTCAACCGGCACCTTGCCGTCACCCTCCGGCGATTCGCCGATACTTCCCTCACCATCGATCCTCCTTCCTCCCGTTCCGCCCGCGCCCAGCGCCGAGCCCAACTTCGCCTTGTTGCTGATCGCGAGGACGAACTTCGCACCCTCCCTGAAGACCTTTTCGCTCAAGTCCTTCTTGAATCCCCAGCTATGAACCCTCCCCCAACCGCGGCATCCACCGCGGCCCCAAACTCCTCCACCGATCCTGCCGGACTGTCCGTAGTCCCGCTCACATTTGACAACTACGACCTATGGTTCGAAAATCTCAACCTCCTCTGTTCCCTTAATGACTGTGCCCACTTCCTTACAGCTGATCCTCCCGCCCCCACCCAAGCGGACGTCCTCCTCAAACACAACAAGCTCTTTGCTTACGCCAAGGCTCTCATCCTCAACAGCTGCTCTAACGACATCCGAATCCGCTTCAGCAAAGAGGACCTTCGCCTCTCGCCCTTTGGGTTATGCACACGCCTCCTCACCCTTACTTCCACCAACCCCACCAACGCTCCCTATCTTCTCTCCGCTCTGGCCAAACAAACCCTCCTTCGCCCCGGTGTCTCCATTCACAACTACATTGGCCAGCATTGTGAGATCCGCTCGCGCATGCTCGCGAGTAACTACCCCGGAATCCAGGACCCTTCCACGTATGCTGAATTTCTCATTGATGGCCTGATCCACAATCCCGACTTCCACCAAACCTACATGGATCTCCACATGAGACTAGACACCTTCACGTCCATCGAACAAGTCGAAACCCAACTAATCCATGCTGATCACCTCATCTAACGTACCTCGACCCTTTACAACAATCTCGCCCAGTCCAACCGATCCGCATCAGCCACTTGGCAGAACCGCTCCCAAGACCGTAACAACCGCCCCGCCCCCCGCGGTGACCGAAACGCTCGTCGTCCAGACGGCTGGAAAGGCAAATGGTGTACATATCACGGTATGAACACCCACAACACGTCCGAATGCATGGCTAAATTTCGCTCCGACCGCCAACGCCACCACCAGCTCGCCCCAACCCATGCCTTCCAACCCCAGCCCCCGTCAACCCCTGCCTCCCCCATCCACCCCACCACTTCCTATCCCCCGCCTCAAGCCCACTGGACAACGACGCCCTCACTGCCGCTTCCATACCCCTATCCCGCCACACTCCCCCCACACCCACCATCCACGACTTTCCCCACTTTTCCGCCTGCGGCAACATCCGCCCCGCCCCAGGGCTACTACCCCCTCCCTCAAGACTACGCCGCCCCGTCACCCCATGCTGCACACACCACACCGACCGACCGGATTCCACCTCCCCCATCCTCTAACCCGCCGTCCACAGTAAATCCAGGCCAGCCCCAGGGCCCCTCTTCCTCATACATCTTGGACTCCGCTGCCTTCCCAACCCATGTCACCACCCCCCACCCCGCCATGAGACGCGCCCCCAACCCCCACTACACGCGCACTGCCACTGGCCACCCGGCCCCCATCTCCCACCACGGCCCTATCTCCCTCCGCCCTCTCCCCCCGCACGCCCGCCACCCCGTCAC